TGAATATGGTGACTGATGATTGGTGAAAGAATATGGACACATAGTACTCCAAGAGTACCTAATAATTTTTCGAGTTGTTATTTGTACCACTTATCATTTATTGCAAAATCACTTGCCTCGTAACGGCTCTTTCCCAACCCTTCGAAGTGGACTAAATAGAGAATATTTTTGAAATTGCAAAAATTAGCGGTGTCTAAGAAAAAGTTATCAGAAAAGGGGTATTTGTATATTGTTAGATAAAGCAAGGGAGATCATTGCAATTTTCAAAACTTCGAGGGAAGATCCCTATAATTGTCAAAAATCTCAAGGAAGGCAAGTGTAATTTATCTAAAAAAAAATATCTTTGTAAGCAATTAAGAATTCCGTACTTTAAAGAATTCTGTTTTTCTTTTAATATATTGCATGTTTTTCTACTTCTAAAAAAGAATTTCATGCTTTAAAAGAAGTTTATTTTTATTTTTATTTTTTTTTGCCTTTTTTATAAACTCTTTTTATATATAAAATTTAAGGGAATTTTTTTAAAGATTTCTAATATTAAGATTTTATAAGATAAAGGACATAATATTTTCATAGTAGTTGGGGTCCCTTAACATTTTTACAGAAAAAATTTAACTCAAACAAATTTGTGTCCAACTTAGAGAAATTTTAATTTTTAAAGAGAAATTTTTTTGATTTCATAGAGAAATTTCATTGAGGGACCTTAGTTAATAAAAAATATATCTTGGATCTATCCTACTATACAGAGTTAGAGATAGGTGTTTCACTAATTTTATCTTAAAATTTATATCAAAAAAATAATGTTATAAATAAATGAATGCCTATAATGTGCACTCACTTAGGGATAAAAGGGTGCATAACATGTGCATCCTATCACAAATTGACATAATTTTACTATAAAATTTTGTAATATCAATCACAAAATGCATAATATTATCACAAATTAGTGTAACAAAATATCCAAAATTTTATTATTGATATTACAAAAGTTTGATTTTTTGTTACACCAATGTCTGACGAAATTACATATTTTATGATTGATGTTACAAAATTTTGTGATAAAATTATGTCAATTTGTGATAGAGTGTATATGGTGTGCACTCCCTAAAGAGGTACACACCATAGAGTCTTCCTATAAATAAAAAGCATATTTAAGAGTGTTCTATTTTAGAGAGAATTATCGATAAATCCTATATGTTAGAATTATGTTCCAGTTAATCCCATAATTTTCTTTTTTTTGATTTATTTAATCCTGTTGGATGTGTAATGACATATTTATCATTATAATCTCCTTAATTGTTGCTGTTTGTTGGAGTGTTATTTTTTTTAAAAATACATTAAAAAGTTTTTTAATATATTACATTTGAGTATTATGTTTTTAGAGTGTTACATTAAAATATTACATTTAGAAAAAATACACTAAGGAGCTTTTGTGTGTTACATTGATTGGAATATTACGTGAACTACAATTTTTTTTTTTTTTTCTGTGAATTACATTAGAGTATTTTGTTTGAAAAAATTACACTAAATTTTTTTTTAATATGTTACATTAGGGTTAAGTTTTTAGACTGTTATGTTTGAATGTTACATTAGAGTGATAGAAATGCAATCAAAAAATTAGATTCAACTTCCCTAAGATAGCGTCCCCCAATGAAAAAGGGTAAAAACGTTTACCAAATCATATCAAAATTCAAAATAGAATCTCACAATAAAGTTGTCGAAACAAACAAAACCTACGAATATATTAGAAAATCCATGAGACTAATTGGAGTAACTGATTCCCATATAAAACTTTCTAGTAATTTTCCCTCTATTTTGAAATGAAAAGTTCACATTAAAGTACATCATTTTGTACAAAAATTATGTATGATTTTTTTTTTTTTTTTTTGGGTACATCGGAAATAAAACAAAAGAAGGACTACATCCTACCACTCTCCTGACAGAGATGAACAATATCCGCAACAAGTAAAGGGCGGAGTTCTGCAGGGGGTTCGTTTACAATAAGCAAGTCTGCCGGTTGATATTCACCTAACTTGGCCGTTGCATCCGCACAAATATTAGCTTCCCTTCGAATGTGTTGGATGGAGCAGTCACATCCTCTCATGATAATATGCGCATCTTCCACAATGCCCCGAAAAGGACATTTTTTTCCCAGATCCTCACTCAATAATTTCATCACTTGCTCCGCATCAGTTTCTATAATCACTTCATTGAATCCTCGTTGAAGTATTATAGTCAGCCTCTTGTAGACTGCCCAAAGTTCCGCTGCTAGACAGGTACATATTTCAAGTCTTCCATAGTATCCACTAATTCATGCTCCGGATTCATCCCGAAATAAACCACCAAAACCTCCACCTCCTCCATGCCTGCGAGTGCTACCATCCGTGTTAAGTTTGATTTTTCCTGCATTTGGACAAGACCACACAGAAAGACTTTTAGCTTGAAGTGGTTAAGTAACATCCAAACTAAAAGCTTGAAAGATATCCTTGGCATAATCTGATATGAGTTTAACACTCTCATGGATATTAGTAGTTTTAGATTCAAAAACCATCTTATTTCGATTTTTCCAAATAGTCCAAAGGGAGATGAGGAACAAATAAGAATTATGGTTATTCCCTTTCATATTTTGGATGATCCAATCTTTCCAAGATAACAAGAGCCTACTGCAGTACCACTCCTTACTATAAACATGGCACCATATCTGGGTAGCTTTGGGACAAAACCAAAGCAAATGTTGAAGATCTTCCACATTAGCACAGTAAGGGCAATTGGGATTAGAAGTAATACCCCTCTGGTTTCTCATTTTGTTAGTAAGAATTTTTCCATGAAAGACAAGCCACAAGAAGCTTTTAAGTTTTTGAGGAAACTTAAGCTTCCAAATCCATCTCCAATCCCTTTCCTGATTATGATGATCAACAATTAAATCATATGCACTGGATGTGGAGAATTCCCCATCAGAGGATTTAATCTATCTGGGAGTGTCTTCTCCAGCATTAGGCCTCGGTGGTTGTAGCTTTAAAATAGCTTCAACCATAGGTAAAGGGAAGGAATTTTGCAAAAGATTTAAGTCCCAATCACCATGAGTATCAAGAAGAGACTCCACGGTAGTATGTTCACAATTTGGAGTTTGATTGGTAAGTGTGTTCAAAACCAATTCAAAAGCCCCAACACCACACCACCAATCTTTCCAAATTCTCACTTTGTTACCGTTACCAAGCTTCCATCGAACTCCCTGAACCAGGAGCTTCCTGGTATTAAGGATGCCTTTCCAAATGTGTGATATACTCTTGCCTTTCTTTTTAATTAAGAAAGGCTGTTGACCCAAGTATTTATTATTTAACACATCAACCCAGAGAGTATTCTCTCCACTTAACATTTTCCATCCCAATTTAGAGAGAAGAGCTAGATTTTGATCTCTAGCCTTGCGGATCCCAAGACCCCCATGTTTTTTCATCTTGCAAACCTGATCCCAATTAACAAGATGAACTTTCTTTTTCTCAAGACTATCACCCCAAAGAAAGTTTCTATTGATTTTATCAATCTCATCACAAACTTTCCTCAGGAGCTCCATAGTTTGCATGATATAACTGGGCATAGCACTAGTGACAGATTGTATCAAGGTTGCTCTCCCGGCCAAAGACAACATCCCAGATTTCCACCCCGCAAGTTTATTCTTCATTTTTTCCAAAATAAACATAAAATGATTTTTGGATACTCTATCATGCAGCAAAGGGATCCCCAGGTATTTCCCCAAATTACAAGTTAAAGGAATGCCACACATATTACTAACTGATTAGCTTTTCTTCTGGCAATATTAGGAGACACAAACAAATGTGATTTATGAAGGTTAACCTTTAATTCCGAAATTTCACTAAACTCGTTCAAGACTTGCAAAATAGTGTTACAATTATGCTCATTTACTTTGGCGAACAAAATCAGGTCATCCGCAAAAAACAAATATCATATGTTAGGACCATTCTTAGCCAAGCTAAGCCCATTCCAGTGTTTACCTTGCACTTGCTGGCTAATCATGACTGAAAGTCATTCCATGCATAACACAAATAGATAGGGGGATAGAGGATCCCCCCTGTCTTAAGCCCTTAGCTGGTTTGAACTCTTCAAGGGGCTCACCATTCCACAAAATAGCTGTGTTCACACTAGTGACACAGCTCATAATCAAGTTCACCAAATTTTTATCAAAGTGGAATTCATGCAAAGTTTGATGAACGAAATTCCAAGAAATGTTATCATAAGCTTTTTCGAGGTCAATTTTAAAAATCATGAAACCCACCTTTCCTTTTTTCTTATTCAACGTATGAATAGCTTCCTGGGTGATTATGATATTATCATGAGTGAAACGACCCGGAATGAAACTATTCTGATTAGGACTAATAGCTGTGTTCACACTAGTTAATTGGGAACAGGTTCACCAAAATAGCTGTGTTCACACTAGTGATTTTTTCATATTTTATTTTTATACCATTATTCAAATTAAAAAAAAAAATCATATCATCTTCTATCTATACTATTATAAAGTGAACACTTCTTATGGTGTCCTGAAGCTTTACTCTCCTCATGCCATGTGGCAGTATTTTTTATTTTTTTAAAAAAAGTTAAACAAAGAGATGGGCAAGGCTTGAACCCATGATTATAGGTTTAAATACGAAGACTCATACCACTTAAGCTAAGTACACATTATAATATTAATTTCATTATTTTTTTTTTTATTCCTACTAATTTAAATTGCACACACATCGTGTGTGCCACCCACTAGTTATGTTAATAAGACTACACTCACCACATTTTTACATCATGTTTTATCTACCATCTAATGTGTGACATACACAATTGACTGCTTTAATGGTATATCCATACAGGTCTCATTCATTTTCATATTCAACCATTAATAGTTGTGTGCTAAACAAAAAATAGTATAAAAATATGATAACCAAAGAATTTTTTTTTTTTTGTTTTTTTAATTTTTTTTTGTCTAGATAAATCTATTTTTTAGAACAATTTTAATGGTGCCAATTATGAAAACATCACAAAAATTTTATATAATACTACATAATTCTTAAAAATTAAAAAATAAAAATAAAAATCAAACTTCAGTGAGTTCAATTGAACCCACTACTTCATGCATGGCTCCGCCCATGTGCCCCCGTCCCTCCTTAAGTTGGAGAAGGAGGCTCCTTACCCTTTTTCTCTGCATCCACTTTCCCAGGCTCAGTTTCAGATACCCTCTCCTCAGTTTTCTTATCTTCGACACTTAACTTCTCGAGCAGCCCAGCAGCAGCAGATGCATCTTTGTTTTCTCCTGTCTTTTGTTGAGATTCAGCTACCTCTTGAAACATTTCCATGAAAGTTTTGCAATCTAGAGAGAGAGAGAGAAAGGGTTACTTATGAAATTAAAATTCTCTAGAATGATTCCCACCACAAAAATAGAACTGTATGCAGGAACGCCTAATGAATCAGGGATATGCTAACTGCTAAGGGATATGCTAACTGTATGTAGGAACACCTAATGACATGACAATGAGCTACAAAAGATATGCTAACTGCTAAGGCGAAGCATCATCACAAAAACACAAGGACATAGAATGAATCAGGGATATCATGGATTCCAAAGCTACATCAGCACGCACACAGACAAAAAGAAAATCCTTGGACAATTAAGAGGCCCGACTTAAGTTTCCATTTTCACGCGCACAAACTCACCAAAGGAGTGACATTATGGAATCCCCTCTTCATGGTTAGTTTAACCACCATGCTACCACATGAAACTAGTGAATTAACACCACATTATCAATCGCTGAGTTGATATCTACTAAATTATCCACCACTTACAAAACAAAACATCATCACCTACTAAGTTATGCATCATCCTCCATGCAAGTTTTCAATCTTTAAATTATGAAAAATATATGGTTGTCTTGGGACAAGTCCACGTAGTGTCCCAATATAATTTTTATTAGGTATAACAATGGGACTCAGTAGTTTTGTATTGGTTTGAAGGATACAACATGACAAGTGTCATGTGATAAATGGTGTGGAGCTAAGAAGTAAGGATACAGATGCAAACACAAATGCAAATGCAGATGTGGACACAATGATTTTAAAAAAATAGGGACACGAACATAACAATAAAAAATTATTTTTATATATATTATTTATTATGTAGATTAATATTACGTCCACCAACAATCAAAATTAACAAAAACTAACACCAATTCAATATTTAAAAAAAAAAAAAAAATTAGCTTTTATCGTTTATGTCTTTTTTTATGATTGATTTATTAATTATTTAAATTTAAGCAAAAAATAATAAACATTCAACATCTATCAAAAACACTAAAGAATAATAAAAAATAAAAATAAAAAACTAGATAGCATGTCCCCAAAGTGTCCCTGGTGGATATCCCATGCAAATAAATTAATTAAATAAACATGTCCGTGTCTAACACCACTACATCACCTATTTGTAGTGTCAGTGCTTCGTAGGTGTGGAGCAATGCTCCAAGACCACCAAATAACCACTCCTAAATTATTCAGTCACATACACAGGAACCATGCCACCCCTAAATAGCTGTTGTCCTACAAAAATGCTAAAGTTATCCAGTGTTTTGGTTGAGGATGGAGGTAATGAGGCTATAAAAAGTTAAGGGCAAAGAAGTGGCAGTCCAGCAAGGGACAATTTCATGAAGGCAATGGGACTGAATTGTCAGAATGGGTGATGAAGGGAGTTCAAAGGCCTTAACAAATTTCTCAGGATTCTATGAAAAGGCTGTGAGAATGATGATGCTACAAAACTGATAGCAGCTATTCGATGACCCAAATGGTTTTCTCTTGTTTCACTTATGTGTGGAAAAGACATCTGCTAGATTCCTACAAAGGTAAATTTGGGAACAAGAAATGAGCAATAACTAGAATGAACATTAATCTTTTCAACCAGTAAATTTGCAAATACACAATCAACGAGTCTTTTACTTCTTTTAATAAACAAATAAAAAAAAAGAGTCCAATTTCAAAATTGCATTTGCTGAAATAACAGAAAAGCTAATACGAGTTAAAACAAAAATAGGGGAATCCAGAATCTAGAGAACTAGCATGCAGAAATGATTCAGAAAATTATGATTTTCCAGGTTTGAAGAGCACAGGGAAATAAAATTAAGAAACACAGTTGTGGTGGAAGCTAAAGAACCAATTTCACAATTTCATAAATTCCTGACAATTATGCTTCCACGAAATTACTGCTGCCTCACTACCATAAAAATAGAGGACATATAAAAATTAAAAAAAAATCTATTTTGCAATAAAAATAAGGCAACTAAACCAACATAAACCTTAAATCTTTGGGATATATCATGAAAGTGTTTAAAGCATTATGTGGCACTATACATTTCTTTTGCTCTGTATCTAAAGAAGAGCAAGCGATACAACTACAGAAGTGTAAGGCTTAAATGCTTAATCCTTCCTTTTTCATTTTTCCTGTAGACAAATTCTTCAGAGTATAAAAGATGCAAAAGAATTCATGATTATAACGATAAAGATCATCAAGTTAAAACAGAGGATATCAAGATAGCCAGAAAACAACATCCTTCAATAGAAAACCCAACATCAGATAGGCATCAGGGCATTTTCTACTTTTAAACAAGCTGAGAAAACAGCTGTCTCGGGTCGGTGTATAATTCTTCCATTTTACATGTTTAATAAAAATCACTTGTTTATTGTCCATCCACACAACATGGTTTCTCAATCTCCAATGTTAATTGCAAAAACCACATACATTGTACATTTCACTCTACTAAATGGCTCTCTTGCTCTCAATTCCAACCACCCCTTTCATAATTACAGGACTCTTTTATTCCCCCTACATAATTGTTTACATTAGCCAATGGGTTAATCTACATCTAACTCTAAGAACCAAAAACCAAACAGCCAACATTAGGTACTAACAAGATCAAAGACATAAACTTGGTAGGTACTACTAGCAATTCAGTTCATAACAAAATGCTAACAATCAACACATTAGAAAAATTCAAGTGAGAAAAATTACTCTCAACAGATCCGAATCGAATGCAAAAGAGTTCATCTTTCAATTCGCCATCAGCAAAATCAGCCGCATGCCAAACACAAGACTTGTCATTCCCGGCGTGTTCCTGAACTGACATCGTAGGAATAACTGGAAAACGACAGATTCACTCACACACACTCAGAATTTTAACATCATATACAAGCAATTAAAGATTAAAAAAGGAACAGTAATCACACCGAGATGGTTAGCGCAGATCTTGAGTGTCTTCGATTGGCGCATAACGAGCCGAACTTTGCCAGTTTCCTTGTGCTTCAAAAATTTCACGGTACCAGCGCCTCTCTCCTTCCACTGATTGCCGTCCTTATCGAATCGATAAAGCTTTGATTTCCTGAGAAAACACAGAAATCAAACAAACAAACAAAAAAACACAATAAACCCTAGAAATTGAAGCAAAACCCTAGACAGCGTACAGATCGAGGATGGCGTGTTCGTTTTCTTCGCCGGTGGTGACGGAAACATGTTCGAGCTTGACGATTGGGGCGACCTGTGCGCCGGTGTCTTCATCTTCGGCGGTGGGGGTTTCTTCCTCTTCTCTGTGCTCCGGATCGGGGCTCGACATTGACAAGAGAGAGCTTGGGATTGGACTTGAAAGGGTTACAGACTGTTTAGCAAATAGTCGGACTGACTGACAAAGAAAGAAAAAGCAAAAGAAAATATTAGATTATATATAGACTCCGACAGTTGTTGATGTCTGCCTGTCTCTATCCTTCCTACCTATAGTTATTATTAGGGTTAATTAGGCCTGCACTTGCTCCATATCACTTTGTTCTTTTATTTTTAAAAATTGAATATTTTTATTTTAAATTATAAAAAAATATAATAAAATATTATGTATGATATACATCTCTCAAAAAAAAAGAAAAAATTAAAAAGTTATATAATTTTAATATTTTAAGTCATAATTAAAAAAATATATATCATAACTAAATACAATGTAAATTATAATTAAAATAATATCATAATTAAAGAAGAAAATTAATTATAACTATAAAAAAAATGATATAATTAAAAATACATATGGCATAACTTTTTTAAAAGGAGTGTATGTTAAAATTTTTCTTTTTAAAAAAAAATTAAAATCACATTTTTATAAATTCATCTCATTAAATTATCAATTTAGACAATTGTCCCCTTCATCAATTGATAATAATTAATTTTAATTCAAACCTTCAGTGATATTAATATTTTTTTTACAAAATATCATAATTGTTGGCATTTATGTGATTAATTGAGGATATTGAACCATTTTACAAAATTTCAATGTTGATGAAGTATAAAATTCTGAAGACATTGGGAAACCAGAAAGTTCAGTAATGAAGCTAAATACAATGGGGTGTTTGGTGCAGCTTTTTTAAGCCAACTTATGACTTCTGACTTTTAAAAAGTTATTTTGGACTGTTTGGTTAAACTTATTTCAAACAGCTTCTGATTCTAACAACTTATTTTAAGTTAAAAAAGCTGATTCTGAGAAGCTGCTCACCCCTTGCTTCTGATTATCAGCTTCTGCTGTGGACATGTTAATTCACGGTTATACTCTTAGATTTTTTTATTTTTTATTTTTTTAAAAATAGAAAAAGACTCAAATGGACTATTAAATATTATTATTATTTTTTATGAAAAATGTAGACAAATAGTGAATAATAAAAAATAAAAATTAATTGAAAAAGCTACTTCACAGCTTATTTAACAAACACTACTCAGCAACTTAAATCTATAATCCAACAGCTATACCAAACAGATTAACCGCTTCTGATTAAAGTCATAATCTATAATCTGTTAAGCTATAATCTATAATCTGTTTTAACAGCTACACCAAACACCACCAATATAAATTACAAAGTGAGTCCTGTACACATGGCAATCTAGCGACAACCATAGAAAGAAAAAAAAAAAACCCACAAAAGCCAATTTTCCATCAACTACATCCACCAGTCACCTGAAGATCAGTCCTACACGGATCAGTATCCAAAGCAGAGAAATATCTTTCTATGGAACATTGAGAGAAATATCTTTGGGCCTACAAACATGCACGAGATGAGAGACAGAGCATTGCACTGGAGCGTCAAGTTTCCTCCCAAAGCCAGCAACACAAACAGGAGATTCCAGAGCTTTTTGACGTCAACTAGGCATTACTACCATTTCTCATAAGCACACAATCAATACGAGCCCATTGATGGCATGCCATAAGGAGGTGGCATAGGAGGCATACCCATTCCACCCATTGGTGGTGGAGGAGCAAAACCTCCACCCATCCCAGGTCCTCCCATTCCAGGCACTGGTGGTGCAGGCAAAGCAAGAGGTAGCAACTGAGCGTACATATTCTGCAGCCAAAGTAATTAAAGTTAACATGACCGTGTTACCATGTCAAGTATTGCAGCAGAAAAAGTGATGGCACATATTTCGATTATGTAAAAAATATATTCTTGCAAGTATATTACATCTAACAGACTATCAGGAAACACATATGTAACCTCAATAAATTATGCAGATCAAGCTTGACAAATGCCTTGGGCTATCATGTTATGTATACTCCTCTCTTACTATAATTTGTCTTTACAATTTGTACCTATATTAAAAAGCGTCTATTGCACACTCAACTTATGGTGGCCACGTGTATAATGTAAAATTCTCTTGGGGGAAAAAAAAGTGGCACTTCAAGTCATGCTCATCTTGTTCCTGCGAGTGTTGAACATGGTTCCAACCAAGATGCATTTACGTTACACAGGTCATTTGTTGAGGATTGTGCTAGATGTATGTCAAGCGTCCCAAACATGAAATTTATATTTGAATTGTGGACACTTCCTCACATTGTGTCATACACGGCTTTACAAGTGAAGCAGTGTTTCACTTGTGTGGGTAGCCAACACGTCACCTTGTACAAAGAGGCCATATAATTCTTAAAAGTCGGTTATGTTTTACACCATGAAGCATAAACATGGACATGGGAAACATTGACACAATAAAAACAAGTTGATACTACAAACCCTAAAAAATTGAACACGGATATGTCAATTACATGGTAACATAATAATATATCTAGGCTAATTCTGTGGTACACAGACGCAAAGAGGTGTATATCATGTGCCCCCATTATGATTCAAAGTGGTCATTGTTCTGAGACAAATGGTACACCACCACTTCATCTCATAACTAAGATCACTTTGGAATCATAGCCAAATGAACAAAATTTAAATAAAGGGCTATGATGAAGTTATAGCTAATATGTCAATCAAGGAGAATTTATGCATTCAAAGCCATAAACAACCAACTTAAATAGGACATTTGAAAACTCCTAAACAGATGGACTCACATCAGCAAGATAGAACCTAGAAATGGATTCATTCTTACCATGAGATAAAGGGGCTGCCTACTGTACGATGCTGCCACCACTACGGCTTTTGGGAAAGGTCTGATGTACAAAACCTTACTGCCACATGTGAATAGGCAGTTTTCCAGTTTGAAATGGAACAAACTTACCAAGAGATAATAAAGGGTATAGTATTATAATTTTTTTTTTTTTTTAATACGCTAACGCCATGTTTGTTTGGGCAGACATGTGCTTAGGATTGGATTAATAGTCCAATAAAATTATTAATCCGATATTTGGTTAAAAAATTGAAGTACGAACTAACAATTCATCCGGATATAGTATCCCACATATAATGGATTATTCAATTCCACAGAGAGGGGTGGGATATAAATTGGGGAAAAGCCAAAGTCTATACTAACTCATCAAATCACCAAAATAACCCTTACCATATATCTATATTCGTTGATTATTTTATTCCACAACCTTCAGTCTTCTTTGACATTGTTGTGATGAGATGAGAGCAAGGTTCTGAAAAACGGTTGCGGTCGCCGTAACGGTGGCGGTGACACGGTTACGGTTGCGGTTGCGGTTGCAGTTGCGGGGTGTAAAGGCCGTAGCGTTATGGTTGCGGTAACCGGAACCGTGAATTTTTTTATTTTTCGCACAATTTGAAAAAAACTTATCGATATGCATATTTTTTTTCCATGATTATATTTATTGGGTATAAAATAAATATTGATAAATTTTTATAAATTTTTAAGTCTGATCCAATATATTTCATATTTTTAAATCACTATAAATTGAATTTTTTACATTTTATTTTAAGAACTAATAACTTTATATTATACAAAAAATCAATCACTAACTATTATATATAAAATAAATAATGACAAAAGTAAGAGAATAAATAAGAACCTAAATATATATATGTACATATTTTAATCAAGCCAAATAGCTAATGACCACACTTATTATTATTATTATTATTATTATTATTTCAAACAATATATAGATAGGCACACACAAACAAAATGGTTGAGTGATGGTAGCTGAATAAAATAACATAGGTCTTAAAGTTGCAACAAATCAATAATATGTTCTTTATCTTCCCTCTTCTCTCTCTCTCTCTCTATCTCTTACTCCTCCATCTTCTCTCTTTATCTTCAGTCTTCTCTCTATCCCTCTTCCTCCACTTTCAATTTTTTTTGTGTTTTTTTCGAAAGAAGCGGTTCGGAACCGTTACGTAACAGTGTGTCACAGGCCGTTACAGCTGTTATGGCACCGTTACGACCACTACAGCAGCCGCTACTGCCGACACCAAGGTTTTAAAAAGCAGCCGCAACCGTTACGTAACGCCGTTACGTAACGGTTTTGGCAGTTACCGCCACCCGTTACGGCCGCTTTTGTAGTGTGCTTGAGAATCACAAGTGTGTCGGCCGTAGCGGCTGCCGTAGCGGTCGTAACGGTGCCGTAACAGCCATAACGGCCTGTTTCGCACCGTTACGTAACGGTTCTAAACTGTTTCTTTTGAAAAAACACAAAAAAAAAAAAATTGAAAATAGGGGAAGAGAGATAGAGAGAAGAGGGAAGATAAAGAGAGAAAATAGAGGAGCAAGAGATAGAGAGAGAGAGAGAAGAGGGAAGATGAAGAACATGTTATTGATTTGTTGAAACTATAAGGCCTGTGCTATTCTATTCAGCTGCTATCACTAAACCATTTTGTTTGTGCATGGCCTTCTATCCTTCAAATCTTACTTTTGTCATTGTTTATCTTATATATAATAGTTAGTGATTAATTTTTTGTAAAATATAAAGTCATTAATTATTAAAATAAAATGTAAAAAACTCAGTTTATAGTGATTTAAAAATATGAAATATATTGGATCATACTTAAAAATTTACAAAAATTGATCAATATTTATTTTTAACCCAATAAATATGATCATGGAAAAAAAATATGCGTATCGGTAAGTTTTTTTCAAATTGTGCGAAAAATAAAAAAATTCACGGTTTCGGTTACCGCAACCGTTACACTACGGCCTTTACACTCCGCACCCGCAACCGCAACCGCGTCACCGCCACCGTTACGGCGACCGCAACCGTTTTTCAGAACCTTGGCCGACACACTTGTGTATCTCAATCACACTGCAAAAGCAGCCGTAACGGGTGACGGTAACTACCACAACCGTTACGTAAAACCACCACAACCGTTACGTAACGGCGTTACGTAACGGTTGCGGCTGCTTTTTAAAACCTTGGATGAGAGTCTCCAAAGTTTGTCGTTGATCTTGAGCCACCGATCACCAATTTGGAGCCACCATTCACAAATTTGAAGCAACTGTTTATCGATTTGGATCCACGATTTGTTGATCTGAAGTAGTCATTCATCGTTTTTGTACCACGATTCACTGATCTCAACAAATTTCGGTGAGTAAATTTTTTTTTCCATTGATGTTCGGTTTGATTTACGGTGCTATTATGTGGTTTGATTTGCTATGAATCTTTGTTTTACATTGTTGTTGTTATAGTTATTTCTCTCTCTCTCTTCATCTTCATAGATCATATCTAGGGTTATGAGTTTTTCACTCACATTGAAATCTCATATTTGTTCAGTGTTAGGCAAAAGTTTTGTTTTGATTTTTAAGGCAAGTTTTGGACAACATTAGGAGGGGACATAGTTCTATTTATATGTCTGTGTATTGAAAACAATACGGTTTTATATTTGGTTTGTGAATTTGAAGGGTTTTAAGGCTATTCAAGAACATATTCATATAGTGGGTGTTTGGGAAATGGCTATTTTTTTGGCTTTTTGGCTATTTTTTAGTAGGCTATTTTAGTTTTTGTATTTGGTAAGATAAGATGGATTTTAATTTGAGTTGTTATATTGAAAAATGTGTTTAAAATGATATTTGAGACTGAAATGACAAATTTGTCCCTAACCTCACTTTTTCCAAAATTGGTAAAATTGTCATTTCAGCCTGTGGACTAGGCTGTCACTACTACACTGTGCCTACACTGTCACGCTGACAGTGTAGGCTGCCCCAGCCGGCTGTTTTTTTTTTTGCTTTTTTTTATTTTTAATATAAATCATTGGTTTAGAGGCTATTTGGCTTTTTTTGTATTTTAGCCTCAAACTTGGGTTCCCAAACAACCCCATAGATTGATACAAGTTTCCAGGCAAACCCAGTTTAAAAAAATATGAAATAAGGAGCATCCCCCCTTGTACAAATTAGAACTTGCTATTATGTAGAATTCTAAGCTATAACCAAAGTAGATAAGTAAAACCATGCAAATTTTCTAGTTAAAATGGCTTTTATCCTCCAGCCTCTAAGACAACACTCTGAATCTTGTCCGCTTAAATATAACTATAACAAGTACAGGAGTTACTCTCCTTTTCCTTAGTAAACACTCTGTTATCCCTAGTGCTCCACAAGTGGTAAACAGAGACTTCCAAGGAGAGGTTGAAAATAAGATTCTTGAAGGGTTTTTTTCCTGCAATTCTCTATAGCCCACTGCAACTCCCACTCTCTAGCTTGAGGAACTCTGTTTAGGTCATTCCTACTAAAGATTACAATCACATTTTAAGAAGATCTTTGCTCGTGATTTGGAGATCAGATAGGAGAGAGAAATGAGCTCCATAAAAATTACAAGTACTTAAAAGCGTACATCTCTTTATAATGTATATCCTAAAATTTTTAATGTTTAGTTCCACAGCTTAGAGAAATGATGCCAGTAAACAGATCAAAGCAAAGTGTTGTTCTAATTACTTTAGTTGCAGAAAATTTTTCTAGCAACCCATCTTTTGTTACCTTAAATTACTAAATGGCTAGTCCTAGGCAACGGCAGCCCAAAAACAAATAATAATAATAATAAATAAATAAATAATTTGAAATCACACCACAATATCAAATCAAAATGGGTTATGAAACTAGTGATTTTCGTTACGACCCATATTTGTGTTTGATTATGACCCATAGCGGTTGACCCATAGTATGCATTCAAGATTAGCTACAAAGTTCTAATCTTCACAAAAATGAAGGGAATGTGAATTAGAATCAGCATAGAAAACAAGAAAACAAAGACAAATAAGCAGAAGAGATGAGGAATTAGTACTATTAATCTCCTTGCTTCTTTCTTAGATACCCAATGGTGATAATCTCTTATTTTTTTATAATGTTATGCTCATATATTCTACATATGCATTTTACTGGAATTAGTGATCTTCTTTATTATTATTATTATTATTATTATTTGTTTTGTTAATTTGTTTGGAATTATGCAATTTTTTTGTACTCTAATATATTGACGTGCATCACTATTTGCATAGATGGATTACAATTTCGATGGTTTTGGAGATGAGAGTAATGAGGAGCTTGAGCTATACGTAGTGTTGCAAGTTGTAATGCAAGAATTGTACGCCTTATGTGTTGTAGCATATATTGCCATTGAAATTGTCTTGAAGAGGTATATTCATAAGTATCCTCGTACCATTATTCAAGGGCCCAATTGATTGCAAGAACAGATGGACCACATTAACCGGCTAGTGAGAGAAAGCGACATTACATGCATTGAACAACTTCATATGGATAGGCGTTGTTTTATGACATTATACCATATGGTTCGTACAATAGGGGGGTTGGGGCATTCAAAAAATGTTACCTTAGAAGATAAGATGGTCTTGTTCCTCTATGTCTTGGCACATGAGTTATGTAAAAATCAATGTATAAAGAGAATTGTATAGAGAATGAATGATGTATTATTGATTGATATAATGTTATGTATTACAAATGGTGAGTGACTCATTATATAGAAGAGGGTGAGTGTAGTAGGTGAGGAGTAGGTGAGGAGTAGGTGGTGGTAGGTGATGGTAAATTTTAACAAGTTAAAAGTACAAAAACTTAAGTTCAATTTCTTTAGATCCGGAGAAACTGTAAGTTGACATTTCAATGATGTCCTAAAAGCTATGTTGTGCCTCCAAGGCCACTTGCTTAGGACACCAAATCCTATAACACAAGCATGCATTGATCTAAGGTGGAATTGCTTCTAGGTAAATTTAGTTTATAAAACATTTAATAAAATACATTACACATTTTTTTTTTACAACTCATAATTATTACAATGTCTTCTATTTATTAGAATTGTCTTGAAGCACTTGATGGAACCTATATTAAAGTTCGTGCACCAGTCGTTTATCAAGCACGGTATAGAACACAAAAGAGGGAGATTGCTACCAATGTTCTAGGAGTTTGCTCCCAGGACATGAACTTCATATATGTGTTACCAGGGTGGGAAGGGTCAGCTCCAGACGCTAGGGTTTTGAGGGATGCGATTAATTGACCCAATGGCTTAAGAATTCCAACTGGTAATTAAAAAATTATTAACTTTGCTTGATGCAATTACTAAGTTTTATTTAATAATGGATTCTAATATATAGCATCTCATATAGGTTACTACTACCTAGTAGACGCCGGGTATACAAATGGACAATGATTCCTAGCACCTTATTAGGGCCAACGATACCATTTGTCTGTTTGGAGAACAGGGGCCACTCCAACTAATTATCAAGAATTTTTTAATATGAAACATGCATCAGCCCGAAATGTCATAGAAAGGTGTCTTGGATTGTTAAAAATAAGATGGGCAATACTTCGTTGTGCGTCATACTACCCATTAGAACTCAAAACCGTATCATCACAACATGTTGTTTGTTACACAACCTCATTCGTCGAGAGATGCCTGTTGACCCCATAGAAGAGAGGCTAAATAATAACATAGAAGATCAACCTCAATTGGGAGATGATGTTGTTGACACCGTTGAGACATCTAATGAGTGGACTGGGTGGCGGGATACACTTGCAATACAACTATACAACAATTGGTTGGCTAGTAAGGGGGCAGGACAAGGATAGTTTCAATATTTGTAAAAGTACTTGTTACGAGTTTAATGTAGTTTCATTTGATTTGTACTTGGAACTTGTATTAGCTTGTGGTTGTTGAACCATTTTTTGCAAAAATTATATGGTTTTTGTTGGTGATTGTTGTCTCATGGATTTGTTACATGTATGCTACCTTATAAAATTAGAGGTGAAATTGTTGGAGATGCTACCCGAGACAAACCTTTGTAGCACTCCCCACGTCGAATTAAAGATAAAGATATGGAAGAAGCACTATAACTGTGCAACAAGAATGCTTGGTACCAGTGGTTTTGGGTGGAACGACACCGAAAAAATAATTGATGTTGAGAGTGATAGTGTCTGGGAAGCATACATTCAAGTAAAATACTTTATTTAAGTTACTTTGTATAAGTTGTTAATTTTTTGATTCATTTTTCTTTAATCTTAAGTTGGAGATATTAATTGAAATTGGTTATTGTAGAGGGAAAACAATGCGAAAAACCTGCGAAACAAAAGTTTTCCGTATTTCGACTCATGGATCCACATATTTGGTAAGGATCGAACTACGGGGGAGTTTGCTGAAGGCTTGCTGATGCAGTTGATGCTATAAATGCTGAGGAAGAATTGTTGTTCAATAGTCTTGCAGATGATGGCTCATTTCTTGAACATATGGGTATGAATAGTCATATCAGCGAGGGAATAAATTGCTCTAGCTCATCAAGTCAACGACCACATGAAAGTTCTACAAAAAAGAATGACAACAAGAAGAGGCCTAGAGGTAATGATGATGTAGTGGAAGGGTTGTCCATGATTGCTAACAAGTTGGGTGAGGTATTTTCTACCACCAATGAAAAGCTGGATTTCATTGGTCGAAGGATGGGTTATGAACATGATTTCGCATCTAAACAGGCAAGTTTGAAAGATGAACTTATTAAGTTGCCAATTACTCTTGATGAAAGGCTAGATGCTTGTGAGATCATATTACAAAGTGCTCAAAAACTTGGCATGTTCTTCAGCTTGACACATGATGACAAACTAAGGTGGGTGATGAGGTTGCTACATAGGAGTGCTCCATGACAAACTCGTGACGTTTTTATGTCCTTCTACGTACTTAGTTTTTTTTATTACTCTAATGCATGTAATAAAGATTGACATTTTGTTACTTCTTTTTTCTTTTTTTTTTGTTGAACTACTCATATTTTGCTATTTCATGTTGAAATATGCTACTTAGAATGCTTATTTTGAAATGATGAATGATAGATTTATATTTCTACAATTTCATAGTTGAATAATTTTTGATATTTTTTTGTTAAAAAAAAAAAAGAGTTAAATTTTGTTTAAATGAATGCCTTTTTGAATTTAGGTAGTGAATGGTTGGATGATTAAAATAACAGTTCATATTTTTTAATGGTTGCTTGCTTATATAAATTTTATAATTGAATGATTTTTATTTTTTTCTATTAAAAAAAAGTGGGGGTTAAATTTTGTTCAAATAATTATTTTTTTGAATTTGGGCAATGCATGGTTGGATGATTAAAATAGCAGTGTATTTTTTTTAATAATTGCTTATGTATATATAAATTTTATAGTTGAATGATTTTTTATTTGTTCTATTAAAAAAAAGTGGGTTAATTTTTGTTCAAATGAATAAATGGATGTGGAGCAACAATAGGGAAATTTGATTTTTAAAAAATTATAACACGTTAGTGCAAAATTTTACATTAATTATAATAGGGATATTACGGTCAATATATTAGATGTCCCATGTCTTGTCATATCCTATCCATTCCAATCTTCTTAAACAAACATTGGATTGGATAATATTTTGTTAATCCCTCCTTATAATCCTAACTCAATTCAAACATAAAATAGGATACAGAATCCAAAAGGATTCGTAATCTCAGGACTATTAGTTATGGGAATATTAATCCAACCTAATCCAGTCCGCCCAAACAAACATGGCCTAAGGGACGGAAGTAACTCACACTTATTAACCTCTTAGAATTAAAATATAAAACAAATAATTTTGCTAAAAACCCTGCAGTTTGCAGAAAAGCAGCACACACAGAAGAAACAGGTATTCCTAGAGACTAAAGGAGAAAAACAAGATACTGAGTGGTACAAAAAAAGATTCTCAAAAAGGCATACCTGTTGTGCAACCATTTCCTTCTCCTCCTTTTCTTTAGCTTTTACCTCACCAAGGGTATCAATCTTGTGCTTGACAAGTTCATCGACTTTGCTAGTGTACTCACGAATAAACTAAATGAGGAAAAACAAGGATGAGAAAATTTTTGAAGAAACAAAATGAAAATTAATTGGCACAGAAACAACAGGATCACCTGTAAGAGATATGGAAAGGAGAAGTCAATCATATTGTTCATCCATGCAAGTTCAAGAGCAACATCTGGCCTGATTAAATCGTAGCATACAAAAAGGCATGATGCAAAGCACTCTTTCTTTCCCTGCATATATTAGCTAAAACCATGACACATCTTTCTTGGGTTTACCATACTAAAGCAAACAAATTTAACATAATATGATTGAAGGTCAGCAGAAAGAACATAAGAAAAACGTTACCCCAGAAAACTTAAATAAAAGATGAAATATTAGCCTTCGTTTGGCATAAGCTAAAATGGGGCTTTTTGGCTAAAATAGCCACAAAAAGACAAAATAGACCTTTTAGTCCAATAATCCAAACCATAATCATTTCATTTTTTTTCTCACAAAAATCAAAAAAACCAAAATGCCTATCCCAAACGAGGCTTTTTAGCCCCATGCTAAAATAGCCAAAAAGCCAACCCACATCAAAGTTCTGAATAAATTGAGACAATAGCCAAAAAAAGAAAAACAAACTGAGCAAATATTCCTAAACTGGCTAAAAGCATGCCCCCCAAATTAAAATATTGAGATAAAGAAAAAGTAAAAAATTATCTTATGATTAAGAGGCATTGCTTGGTGCACTACAAAATTCTTAGGGCTGCCAGACACTAAGTAATTGCCTTAGGGCCTCTATTGGTACAGTGATTAGGAAAGGAAATACTCAAATGCATCTATTGTCATAGTTGCTAGAATCTTGCGCGATTTATGATTCAGTTTGCAATTCATTCATTGATCTATGCAAATCTATGGGTGAATCTATCTTGAGATAATATCAATGGTGAATCATACGATTCAAATTTCAATTCACGATTTAATTTTCATGCGATTCTTGAAACTGTCAGGTCCAACGTATTCCAACCTCTTTTTACCTCCTCCTTTTTTTTCTTTTCTTTTTTTTTTAAAAAAATTTAAATGTAGCATTGGTAGAATACAATTTATAAGAGTGTTCAGACCTCGATTTTTTTATATACATATAAAAAAATATGATAGTGTAGCATTACTCTTGGATGATTGATGCTTGGTTCAAAAATCTTACTATGCTAGTTTTATACATTAGGAACATACTTTGAAAAGAAAATTCATTGTAAATTTTTTTAAAATAAACATTCAATTTTTTGTTTCTACAAATAGATCAGGTTCATTAAATATATATATATATATATTTGTACTTGAGGCAACATAATCAATCCTCATACATTCCATATAACTAACAATTAACACTAAGAAGTTATTAACTGATCCCACCCAAGAAAATCACAGGCTTCTTCCCTGAATAAATAGTATATTAGTTTCTCACATACATAACATTTTGAAAGCGTGAACTTTCACCCCTTTGCAAGTTCCTACCACCTCTGCGACTCCCACTCCCTCCCATGAACCATGTAGCCATGCTAATTTTTTAAAACAAATGAATGATAATTTCGTAGGGCGAAATAAGTTGTAAGGTTGTGTCTTCACCTTTAGTCGTTTATATAGTTGGTTATGAACGGCTTTAGGAAGATGCCTCTGCATGGCAGTCCCACATATACGAACAAGGTATGAGTTGTCACTAGAATGGAAAAACAGACTAAATCAAATATTGTGTGCCAAGTCATGTGACTTGACAATGCATCTGCATATACTGACAAAGTAAGGGTATGCTCACTGTAAGGTAAATCGGTGAATTCACTGTTGCCATGTGACTTTCTGAATTGAGAATCTCACATATATCAATAAAAGATGAGTTGCCATTGTAATAAAAATAAATCGAGGAAAAAATAGAGAAGACCAAAGCCTGTGCACCAAGTCACATGACTTGACAATCCATATAACTAACAATTAACACTAAGAAGTTATTAACTGATCCCACCCAAGAAAATCACAGGCTTCTTCCCTGAATAAATAGTATATTAGTTTCTCACATACATAACATTTTGAAAGAGAACCATACCTGCTCAATAAAATAAACAAGCAACTCCTCTGAAAGTTCACGGTCACCAGACTGTGAGCATGTCTCCATAGCATCTTTGTAAAGACTGTCTTTCTTTGACAATGCAATAGACTGCTTCCATCTTCCTGCCTTCTTATAAATATAAGCGGCTACACGCCTCATCTCAAGAAGCTCATGTTTTTCAATCTGCTTGAACATATCATAAACATTATTAAAAATAGGCTGATTTTATAGAAGGTAAATAACAATAACACCTCTAACCACCCACCTTCTGTGCAAGGCCTATCTGATCAAAGTTATCATGCAAATCTATTGACTCACGAAGTCTGTCATAGTCCTCCTCTTCAACATAAATTTCATTCAATGCTTCATTAACGGCAGCAATATTGTTGCTCTGTACCGCAACCATGTAGGGCTTTACAATACGGAGGTGACCAGCCTATGACCCAAAATGATCAAAAGAAAATCAATATACGGTGAGGAAACTATTTGAACTTTTACAAAAAAAATTATGTCCGAGAAAGAGAGAGAGAGAATTTCATGGATTAATTTTGAATGCAAAATAATTTAGCATGCAGACCTTTCGCATTATGTCCACCACACGTGTATGGTCTACACGAAGGGCAAGCACATTAAGAAGATCATTAATAAGATCAGGATGTTCTTCCAAGTAGAAGTGTACAGCCTTGTAGTACAGCTCCACACTTCCAACTTTCACCACAACATCTTTAAACTGCAGGTGATCCCACGCTTCTGGGGAGTGGTTCATTATGGTAGCTGCAGCATTGTCAAACTCATCATATTGGATATACAAATAAGTTAGTTCCTTCCAGTGCTGCTGTTCATCACAAGCTCGTATGAGCTTTGGAATGTTGAGACGGGTTGAGAACAGTTTGATGTGCTCCATAAGCTTCTCATGACGAAATCTTGCATAAAGAATGCCCAATTCAGTAAATATGCCCATATGAGCACGTTCCAACCCTAGACCACTCTCCATTAGAGTTATTAGCTCTTTAAAGCATCCCCTGTTCTGGTAATATTCACTAACCTCCTCCAACTCATCCACCTAGAATGATCAAACATATAAGGTTAGGAGCATTCAAATGGTAAAAGCAGACCAAAATAAGAAGTCACATAAACGATGTGATATGGAAAGCATAGATACTCCAACAAATGGAAGCGATTAAGAAGAGGATTCAGTACGAATTTCACCCCATTATGTTAGAATCCACATTTTTTGTGCTTCCACAGCCACCTCTCCCACAGCAGGTCCATCAAAGTTGTCTAACCTATTTATGTAATCCATAACTCTTGGTGGATCTGCCTTGATTGCTGTCAGGATCAACAAATTCTGCAGATTGAAGTTCCCACTAAAAGCAGAATTTTGGAGCACAATCTTTTCAAGAAGCTCAATCAGTTCATGTGGAAGATCAGCTGTCATAAAAGCTTTAACAGTTGCTGAAACTTGCTCTGGGCTCTTGCTTTCAGGCAAAGCAGTAGACACAACTTGATCAATTAGCTGCCTTCTATACTCATTATCAGGACTAAGAACCTTCTCCCAGAGGTCAGCATCCATCCTTTCCACCACATATCTAATAGCGAAAACAGTAGGTAAATAACTGAACAGCATAGGAAAGTTTATGGTATAAATTGATAGTTTGAAATTCTCAATAACAATATACAAACCTAGCCTGCAATTTGAACAAGGAGTTCGTGCTGGTGACATTAATTAATTCATCATCACACTGCCCCCTACGATAAGCGACAACAGCAAGGGTGGGGTCCCGTTTCTCACAATATTTACCCACAACACGTGAATCATAGTAGGGGTTGGTGGTAAGAAAATGCTCTGGGTTGTTGTTGCTGTCTATGATGATTTTACCCAGAGCATTGTGGACATGTACATCGTGGCTTCCCTCACTCACAAGATGTTCCAGAAATTGAGTGAGTAAACCAAGACGATTTCTGCAAATAGGATGCATGGTGAGGACATGAAAGAATGAAACTGATGAAGGATAAAAAGGCACATACAGAGACACCAGACCTCTTTTCACATTCCTCTACAAGGGGATCAACTGGAAGAAGAGAACGAACTGAAAGAATAAGACCTTTAATGAAATCTTCAGGGCACTCATCATCCAGTAGCTGCCCTACAACTAGAGGAGTGTTTCCTGGATTGACCTACAAATCAAAAGAGATGCAACCATAGTGCTTCAAAATTTGTTTGATTCTCAATCAGTTTCACAAATATTTTCATAATGCAACTTTCATACTCGAAATAAATAAGAACTGCTTAAAGTAAATTTACCTTTTGAACATATCCTTCAACATACCGAAGCATGTTGCTTGTGTATAGGTAATGAGTGAGATCAGGAATAAAACCAAAACGATCGCAGACATTGATAAGAGGACGTGCATCAGGAAGTTTTGCTTCCATTAAAAAGTTCTTCGTCTTTTCAGGGTCATAAAAGTTTGATTCCCGAGTCACCCGTTCCACTTCCTTAATCTGCCCTGTTTTAGCAGCTGCCTCAATGTACTTAAAGTGGATTTCAGGATCCTCACTGTCCCAAAATGTGAAAAGTTAGAAAAATAAATAAATAAGTGTCCTCACTATACATATATTTAAATCATTCTCTTTTTTTTTTCTTGTTCTTTTTTATACGAGAATGTACCTGGAGCTCAAATATGACCCCAAGAAGAAGTATAACCCTTCATAGGACTTGAACTGCTCGAAGAGTTTTATGCAAGACTCAACACCCAACTGCTCAGAAAATTCTTTTGCAACCTGTACAGACGTGTTAGTGAACCTTCACTTGGAAACCCAGTATTAATAAAACCAGCACAAAGAGACCAATGTATTACCTGCACAATTATCTGAAGATTGCCCCTAAGATTGACCAGTAGAAGGTCCTTCATGCACTCTAGGGCCCATTCTTTAGAAAGGGTTCCAAAGAACTCAACTAGGGACTGTAAAACACCACAAATTAGCAGATATACCACATTACTACTGGTGTAGGTTATTGAAGGCTTTTTAGTATCAAACCTGTGGTTCAATGGCATGTGTGTTCACAATGACACGTTTTATATCTGACAATTCAGTATATTGCTGCAGGGAAGACAGCAAATCAATCCAATAATAGTTTAAAAAATCTAAGACAGATTTCATCAAACAAATTTTAAGAAGCCATCATACCTGAAGGGCTCGTACATACAGACCAGCTTTTTCAGAGAGTTGTGCGATACGAGGCCGATCATAGTGGCTAAACATCCCATTAGCTAATATAGCATCCGCCACATTTGGATATGTCACCAGATTGATTTCCAAAACCTGATCAGAGTAGGTATGTTAAGAGGTTGACTTAAGCAAGGACAGCAAAACAAAACCTCAAAATCTAAAAGATTTAACCTTTGTTTGGAGGGAACCTTGTTCTGGTAAATTTGGCTTCAAAACATCCAACAGAAAGGCTGTTGCCTCACGAATCAGGTTCCTCTGAATAATGGCAGAAAATTCAAAAGCCAAGTATTAAGTGCATAAAAATTTTCAATTCCAAATTTAGTCCATCGCATTAGTGAACTAAGAGGGGTATATAAAGAATAATGTTAAGTTCAAATTATATTGCATGATTTTAGAAGTACAGAAATGAAGACTCTTGTAGATAGGATAGGACTATAGAAGAATCACTGAACCTGAAGGAATAGATCTGTGATTGTATTGTAGTCAACTGGGCAACCTCCCTCCATTTGAGACATCATTAAAGCGAAATTAACAGCTCCCTGCCATTCAAAAAGTGTTTTAAATCATCCTGCATTGGAAAAGTGTGCTCAAATGCACTCAAACATGGGAAGAGGTAAGAATTTAAGAGAGGCCTGGTATTCAACCCCAAGACAAGGTTTCATAAAATCATTAATTTGAAAAAAATAAAAATAAAAATGAAGAAGATAAATTAAATATCCTTACCAAAACGGCATAAAATATCCATCAAAACTATTAATTTTATAAAATAAAAATGAAAAAAATTCTAACGTCACGCCCAAAATTATACCTATAAAACTGTACATACCTGGGCATCTGATCGCAGAATTGTTTGTAGAAGAAATAAATAATCAGGTGTGTATCCAACCTGCATTGTTGAAAAAATGATTCACAGTGATGACCGTCCACACAAATAACCATGAGAAATGATGATGATCATAAAGATGATATGATGACAGAAATAGTGGTACTCCTAGTTTATGTGTAGTTTATAAAATGATAAATAAAAATAATATCTTTAGTATCCATATTTTGAACATGTGAATTTAAAATAAAACATATGAAATTATTTGAATGATTGTAATTGCATAAGCATGCCACCTGCTTTGAGTATATGAGAATTTTGTCAAACTCCCTCTTCTCAGCAAACGCAGTAACAACTTTTGGAGTCACTCTAGCTTTAATGTAAATTTTCAGTGCAAGGTCATTATCCACTGTCTGCAATAGAAACAGGATTCATTACATCAGAAATTTCAATAGAACAGATCTGATAAATAATATAGAACAAGCGACTTTGGGAAATTATTTTCATTTCAGGTAAATTTTTGTAAGTATAGTTTAAACAATGAGTAAATTTGAAACAGAGAGATTAAAAATAAAGGATTACAGAAAAGTTTTGTATAAGAACTATAGCACAATAAACATCATGAAAAGTTCAATCTTCCAAATAAAACCTTCACAAGATCTCCAAGCTCCTCGCTACATTCAAGTTTGTCCTCTGCCAACCAATTCTCCAAAAGATTCTTTTTGTTCTGATTTACAACAAGACGAGATAGTTCCAATGACTCAAAAGCATTGAGCTTTCCCCTAGTTAAAAGAGTTCCAAAGTACTGCAGCAAAGGAGGTGTTTGCCCAGCTTGCACTGGAACACTCTGCAAAGCATAAAGAGTAAATGAGGGCCTTGACATTTACACATTCTGAAGACAAATGGTTAGGGCTGATATCATGTTAATAAAACCTGAAATTTAGCAACAGTGTCAGAAGTGCGGAGAATTCCCTGCGGTGACTCTGCAGCAAGTTCTGCAGCCTCCTTATACTTTGTCTGAGCAAACAATTCTTGGAACCGCTCAACAACCTGAGAAAGGAAAAAAAATAAAATCAAAAACAAAAAATCAAATTCAACCACCATTATGGAAGTGAATAGGCACCTGTCAGCAGACATCAACCAAAGCATCAGTCACTTAAATTTTTGCCACCCTCTCTATTTGACTTAAATAATTTCCCAACATATACTTTTTTTCATAAGGGGAGCTTAATACAAAAAAATAGACATTGACAGGTGTCCGGAGCTTCTGAGAATGTATTTTATGCAGTGTTACACGGACTCTTCTATTCCTCCTAGTGTGCTTAGTGGTTACTAGATACAATAAGGGTAAGGGCATGAGATGTGTCCAACACCCCTACCCAAATTAGATAGATGCTCGGATCCTCTAATTTTTATGATATTTGAAGAAGAAGAAGCTCACATTTTGTAGAATAGATAACTTTCTAGCCTCTAACATGGATGAGAGATACTCCTCTTTTTCCTCTAAATCCCATATAATTTCAATTATGCTCCTAATAATTTACAACTTCTTTATGTTAGAATTTCATTCGACACGCAATATATTTAAATATTCTACACATGCCTATGTACCCGAACCCAACTTTCAAATACATATCCCAATATCCAAATATTTAGGTTTAGGAAGATTTGAAACTTGGACGCACACCCACACCCAATACTCATACCGGAGTCCATGTAACATAGATTTTATGCACACTGAAAAAGATCTCCAAAGTCAAATTTGGATTATCAGGCAGAAGAAGAAATTGGTAAGAGTTTCAACAAACTAAGCTCTCCTATAAATCAATCAACAAAAGCAAAAATTGTATCACAAAACTTCCCTGTCAACCAAAATTTAAAAGAACGAATCAATGACATTGTTATCCTAAAAACTTCGATCACTACATCTCAAAGGTATACCGGTTCATCTCCATCCAAATGCAGCACATCAAACATTAAGGTACTGCCATCCCATAAATTAGACAATGCATCTGCAAAGCAGCACAACCAATCCACTAGATACATAAGCCATTGTGTAGCGTAATCAGTAACTTCACTTTTTTTCCTTTAGCGCGTGTGTGAGATCAAGAGTCAGTTGAGCCATTATGAATGAGAGCAGAAACATGTAGAGTCCCATCTACCTATCAATTCATTTTCTGAGCTCACAGTCACAAATGTTCAAATTGGATTCCCCCCCCACCCCCAGAAGCTCATCTCAGATTGAAAGTTTCAAAAATTTTATCATTTAATTAAATCAGTACAAATTGAATAAATATATTCAATTATACATGGTTATGCACAACAATTTACGAACAAAAAGAAAAAGAAAGCATATAGTATTTAAGAACCTCAACCAAGTTAAACACCAGTAGGTATTGAACCTAGGGAAAAGAGCTAAAATCTAATAAAATATAGCTTAAACATACCAGGTTTTCTGCACCAGGGAGGTTTCCACGTTTGGCAAGATTAACAGCAAGCTCCAGATTATTTAACTGCAACCAAAAATCAAAATCTCAAAAATAAAATTTTTGATCAATTCCAAACTTCTAGCAGCAGAAATGAGAAAACCTTATGCACACACCTGACCACTGACAAAAGACACAATCGTTGCTTCATTTACAGTGGCAAGCAAAACTTGGCCACGCCTATTGACGGCATAAAATCCGCCAATTGATGAAGCTTCTGTTGTCAAAAATATAGGATCTGGACTAATCCGATTCCTATAAATGGCAGCAGCTGTCTCTAGGTCATACACGAATAGAAGTCCAAGCTTTGTGATCACATAAATCAAACTATGCATGTGTGATATCTGTCACAAAAGAAGTATGCATCTTAATTGACTGTAACCAATGAACATCCAAGGCTTGTTAAGCAGCATAGCTACACTCTACCTGCATTGCCACTGGAAAGTCATCAACAAAGTCTGGGGGAAAGAATAAATCTGCTTGCTTCTTAGAAAATGCAGGTTTTCCTGATGACAAATTCTACATTGTTAGTATCATTTACTTGACCAAGAAAGCATAACATGAAATGAATGAAAGAAGCATCAGACTTTTTTTTAAAAAAAATGCTCGGAAAGGGAATACGTGTGTATGTATAGAAAATATGGAAAGTAGATTTACGACAGTGAGAAATAAGCAACATGACATCTGGAAAAAAGGGAAGATGCTAATGGATCGTTAGAGAACCTGGCTGGGCACCGAGTTCAATAACATGCAACTTGGATGTAATTTGTCCAGCATTAGAGGTCTTTGAAGCAAAACATATAAGAACTGAAGGTTTCTCATTCCCTGCAACCTGTATAGATGAAAGGGGGGAAGGAAAGAAAAAAACGAAAGAAGGAAATTGAGACCAAGGAAAAAAAACTGTCAGAAAGCAACACAAAAATAAAAACAATTAGTCAAAATTAAAGTCCATGGGAAAGAAAAATATTAGAGAACGGCATGCTCCCACTTTAAATGAGGCAAATGATGCAGCATGTGCTTCAAGAGCTTGACTCCGTTGCTGATCCACAGCGAAAAGCTGCATACTCCCTTTTACAAGTTGTGGCCTCTACAAGGAAAGTAGAAGATGAATCAGAGGAGGAATTTAAATTTTTAAAAATTTCTTTTACAATTGTAAGCTCTCTTACGTTTAGAGACCAAAGCTCATGGATTTGAGCCATTACATGCGGAAAATTGCAGATTTCTAAATAAAATCTGATTTTTGCATCTATTGGCCTTTGATCCAAGTTTATGCTAGTATGCTTTCAAACCGACTACATCACCATTAGAATAGAAATATGTACCCGAAAACATTACTTGTTCAACAATAAATTTGATTAACAGTACAACTTAGGTCACACAGTTCCCACGTTTTTCAATAAACAGACATTTGCAAGCTTTTGATGTGTGGTGCTGAGAAAACAAATTGTAAAAATAAAAAATAAAAAGATTAAGAAACACACACGTATTCATACAATACTACAACACCTAAATATCCATTGTCAATGTTTCCACAAGACTACTAGACAGGGGAATCATTGAGGTCACGTTCAACATATGGGCACATAACACAGGTCGGTTCACAGATATTACATGGCCAAAATTATATCATTTATTATAACTCTTTGGAAGCCATGACAATGACAGAAAAAAAAAAATTAGAAATCCAATTATAAAGGATGGACCTACATCCAATCTATAGAACAGTTTAGTATGAACAAATCGGGTAGGTAAAAGTTACAGATAACACTGAGCCAGCAAACCTCAGGTGAACCAGGAGCAATTCCAATCAAGACCAACCACTTTTCAGTAGGATCACAACGATAGTTGATTATTTGATTATTCACCAAATTCGCTGTTCGGTCAAACATCTTCATAGGTTCAGAATCACCTGCTTATGAACCGAGATTATGATAAAAGGTGAGAAAATTGCATTTAAAATTTGAAAAAGAAAAAACTACATGACAAAATAACTGATACATAAAGCAATTAAAAATAAAATTTAGTAAGGACAAAGTAGCAAGTATTAATCCAGTGAAAAGTAGAGGTGTTTGCCTTCAATTGACCAATGATAGACTGATGTCTGTGTGACTAGGCCAAGCATCTTTGGGGTGATCCACTTCCAAAATACAATCTATAAGAAGAGCAATATCCAAGGATTAAGGCCATCTTGATAACTCAGTATAAAACAAATCAAAGGGTAAGCAACAGTGAAGTCGATGTTCTGAAAGCAATTGACAGGACAAAATTATCACCTGCTCTGGCATCTGATGTGATTTGACTTTTGTCTTCAATTCAATGTTGAATATTTGCAAATGGTCCTGATTTGTTCCCGGGACTTGAGCTTTATATAGAATGTCATAAACATTAGCCTAGTGATGCATCTTGGTAAAAGGAGCATGTGATCATAACAATCAACAGATTGAGTTGAGGAACATAAAATAAGATGACATGCCTCTTTGGCTTATTTAGTAGTGCATCTCTACTACTTTCTTTCTTTTTATTCTTGCTTCTCTATCCTTTAGAATTCGTCTACTTCTTATTATTGTTCTCATTAGTAAGGACCCTAGTGGAAGTCATATCACCAAGAAAAGAAAGGGAGCTAGAAAATATGAAGCCTCTCTAAATGGTGACTTTAGCACTCTGTTTATTTGGGAAGAAAACATTTTATGGCATGTGATACAACTGAAAACGAAAGTAATGGAAAACATTTTTCATGGTCAATGGAAAATAAGATGAAAATTTTTACACTTTTAAAGGGTGAAAAAAGGTTTCCAGACTAAGGTGTCTTACCAATATCACTACACTACCACCACACCATCACCTCCACCAACACACTGCCACTGCCACCGCCTCACTGCCACCATCACTTATACAACCATTAGTGCATTAATTTCAAAGACACAACGAACCATAGAAAACGTTTTCCACCAAAACAAACGGAGCATAGATAAATGATCATTTCACAAATAAAGAAACATAGGAAATGGCCTTATTATAAAAATGTTGCATATGGCGCACCATTAAATTAATTTCTAAGTAATCATAAACTAAAAAGCTTTTCTAACAATAATTTGCAGTATGGGGTTTGATACCATAGTGGTTGATACCATATATGCAACGAAAAAGATTAAAAATGCAATCAGGTGAAAAATCCTACCTTTAAGGGCAAGAATTCTAGAATTGGGGTTCATCAAAGCCGAGTCAGCAGTGATTGGCCTTCGCAGTGGCTGCATAGGCACGTTCATATCAATGATAACAACACTATTTTGAGGTGCAGTTTCCCTCACACAAATGTACTTATCCGATTCCATCGTCACATTGGTGAATGTGATAAATTGTTGGTTGATTCCTAGGCTAGGCAACTGCAAGAACACCAAATTAAATTTAAGAACATCTTAAGCAAAAACAAACAAAATTCAAACCATGCAATTCATTGAGTCAATAACACAAGAAAAGGAATTCGAGTCACATGCATCAAAATCCTCACCCAAAACTTCCACGTAACAAAATCTCATATAAAGAATTAAAATTACACAGTTTATCCGATATCTACAGTCCAACATGACCTACTTAAAAAAGTTTTTCAAAAAAAAAAAGTCAAAAAAATGTGTCAAATCATTATCTAACTTTTTTACATATCTTTTTTTATAAAAAGCTAAAAATCATTCATCAAACCTTCAAACCATTCAAAACTTTAAATATAAAATTACAAACACATCTCTTTTGCACCTACTGCTATAACATATATACATACAGAAATTGTATTGCAAAGCACTGGTCAAAGTCAGACATAAATTTGCTTCAATTCGAAACAAGTGAGAGAGAAATAGAGAGAACTGACCGTTAGGACTTCTTTCATGGCGATGGGAGCATTTGCAGCAGCCATGACTGCCCAGACTGTGTGGTGGTCTCTCTCTGTGATGGTTCTTTGATTTCAGCGAGTCCAGTTTTGAAGAGAGAGAGAGAGAGAGAGAGAGAGTACTCTACTCTGTGATTTGTTGGACCCTTGTACGTTTTTCTTTCTTAATGACCAAGTAAATTGCACTCCACAGCCCCTGATGTTTACCCAATTGCGTTATTTACATCGCATTGGTTAATTGTCGTATCCTATTCTTGTCTCTGTCAAATAAGTCAACTATTTACTTGATTAATCATTTTTATCGCTGTTAACAATTTAATTTTTAAATTATCAATTCTACCCTCATGCATTTTTTCCCGTCTCGTGTTGATTGTCCATTTATTTTTTATTTTTTTTTGATGTTGCAAAGTATTTGTCTATTTTTAAAAGTCAAAACATAAAATTTTAAAGAATTCCAAAATTACCTTTTAAAAATAATTATAAATAGAGTAATACTTCGTAACTCGAAAAATTTGACTTGAAAATGATTCAAATATCCAGAACGACGTCGTTTTGGGTAATCTTTTCTTTTATTTTCTTTTCTTTTCTTTTATTCTTTTTCTTGCTTTCGAATAGAGACCGAGGGAAGAGAATATAAGAGACAGAAGAGAAGAGAAGAGAAGAGAAGAGGAAGAGAGAAGAGGCAAGAGAGAAGGAGGAAGAGAAGGAAAATCGACGGTGATAGCGGGAGGAAGAGAAGGAAGATCGCCAGTAGGTATCGCCAATCGCCTCTTTCAAACTCTGTTTTCTCTACTTTTTTTTCTCATTTTTTTTTTTTCTAGTTGAGCTGGATCTAAAGATAAATGGGGGAAAAAAAATTTGTTGATGATGATGATAATGTTGATGAAGATGTTGTTGTTGATGATGTGTTGATGAAGATGTTGTTGTTGATTTCAGACTCTGTTTTCTCTACTTTTTCTCTTTTTTTATTTTTTTTATTTTTTTATTTTTTTTTCTCTAGTTGATCTGGATCTGAAGATAAAGGGGAAAAAAAATGTCAATGATGATGATGATGATGTTGTTGATGAAGATGTTGTTCTGTGTTACCCAGCTCTCCATTCTTCTTTTCTTCTTCTTCTTCTTTTTCTTTAGAAAAAACGATAAAAAGAAACGAAAAAAAAATAAAAATCAAAACGACGTCATTTTGGATTCGGGTCATTTGAGCTTTCCTATTTTCGAGCTATCAATTGGAACTATTATAAATATTATACAAGGAGCAAATATTTGTCGCACTTGTACTCCTTGCAATCAAACTTCCTTTGCTCCGAACGACGTCGTACTACCTGAAAACACAACTCAAGTGAGCTAATCGCGTGGGTGTTATGTCAATAAACCTCTCTGACAATCAAATTAGCACCCAAAGAAGATCAAAGGAATATAGAGGAAATGAGAGTGAAAAATTGTAAACATTTTCCTCAATGGAGTCGTGCACCTTGTATAGGCGTTTCCCTTGCTATCCAATATGGTGCGCACACTACCTCTATCGTCATTTGTTAGACATATGGATGTACTGTCATCTCCTTTTCTTACACGTGTACTCGTCAATACGATTTGGTAGTATTGATGCGTACTTTGAACGAATTACCCCACGTGGTACACGACAACCAAGCTATTATTTGATCGAGCTAACTCTAATCAATCTAATCTAGACCAATCCTCAAGACCGAGCTAACTCTGGTCAGCTTACCGCTAGAAGGCTTGCTATGTTCAATCCAATCAAGCTCCATTTGCTCATAGCTCGAACAAACTTCGTGTGACTCCTTAGTTTAAGTTCTTTGCTCGGTTAAGAGTCGTATCCTCACTTTAGCCCGGCTTGTTACCAGGGCACAGGTTTATCTCAGCCATGATCCGAGCTCAACTAGCTCAACCCAACATCTAAGATCCAAGTTCAACTGCTCGGCCCAACATCTGAGATCCAGGCTTAGTTATTTCGGTTGCACAGTTAAAAATGAGGGTCCAAATGAGATTTAGATCGACCCATGTCACAAATTGCCCTCTCAAATATATTTAATAAATAAAATAGAAAGGACAATATGGTAATTTAATATATTTTGATTTGACTTCAAAGTAATAACTACATGTTCCACTAAAAAGTTAGAATCCAAAAAGAATTACTATTGTAGGGCAGAGGAAGTATTTTTTTTTTTAATCTTTTCCCAATACATTTTTTCATTCATTGTAATCGTATTATAAATAATTTAAAATATAATTTGAAGATATTTCAACAAAAAATATTAACTCTTTATTTAATTTATTTAATATAAGTTTGAATTAAATTAATGGGTAAATTACACTGACACCCCCTGAGGTTTATGTTTATTATAGTTCCCCCATCACCTTTTGAAAATATCACGACCCAAACCCACCCCTATAGGTTTCGCATCATAACCGGCCAGTAATCCTTGGATTACCGAAGGCCTCTGAACAGATTAACAAAATTAAGGGGCTAACGGAAGCGAATACATAAACATAATTATCCAATGAGTTTTGTTGACTTATATGAAACAGAATAATTTAAACTTTATATACATATCCGGTAGTCAATCATGCGTTATACCCACATACATTACAGTATTTTAAGTACAGCCAACAACATCAAATCAAGTCTTGTACATATACAGGACCCAAATGACTGAACATAGGACACTTCGGAAACCTCCACGTGAGGCGCAGTAGTTGGCTGACAACAGACACACAGATCCGAACAAAAGCTTTCGGGCTTAAACTCCAGAATGCTCACCTATATACATATATATATATACAAACAGTGAGTTAAAGCCCAGTGAATAACATTAAAGTAAAGGGATTAGTGAACGAAATCCGAACATATCATAAACGGAAAACAGATCAGAGCATAGTCATTCCCATAACAGAACATAATAATGGTACATCTCATAGAACACATTACAGAACGTCTTCCGACTAGAGTAATCGGTTCCGAATACCGATTAAACACATATCACCACAATGAAGTGGCTAACGAGATCTCGTAAACTTGTATGTCATGGACCCACATTTTTATGCCGTCTCCCATGACTTGGGACTATCTATGGATGCTATAATAGTTTTCAAACTTGGGATGTTCGTTCATGTAAACAGATATCATTTCAGAAATCATAACTTATCACATTTCATTTGGAACATAATTTCATAAAAACGTATATTTACGATAACATTACTCACAGTAGTTCCAGCAATGGTCAATCAATCCTCGAGTCTTGACCTACAATCACAAAATACATAACACAAGCATGTCTTATCATTACACATTCAAGTGGCTAATAAGGCTTAGCTTTCATTACATTGGTTCTTAATCTTTCTTATCACATTACCTAAAACACACGCACTTGCAGTCTCGGAACTTAGTACATTCTTTTCTTAGTGTGTTTCTAGTCCATAACCTCATTACCATGGCTTAAGTAAGGCTTAGGAATGCCTAAGGTGCAATGAGGATGCCAAAACATGAATTGAAACACTTAGTCAAATTTTTCTGAAAATGAGGTCTACGCTCGAGCGTGGATTTCCCCGCTCGAGTGGACATGCAGACAATGAAGCTCCGCTTGAGCGTGACTTTTCCCGCTCGAGCAGACTATAAACTTTAAAAAATACTGGATGCAAGGTTTTCACGCTCGACGAGTGCTCAACCCACGCTCGAGCGTGGTACATGAATTCAGGGTTCACGCTCGAGCGTGAAAGTCCCCGCTCGAGCGTGGGTCAAATTTCTAGAAAATCTAGATTGACCTCCCAAGCTCAAAACTCAAATTCAACCATCCAAAACACATCTCTTGGGCCCAAAAACTTGAGATAACATAGTAAACTTGTAAAATATGAAGAATTCAGGATTATTTCATAAAATCATGGACCAAGGGTTTGTTAAAAACTCATAATTTCAACTTAAAACGTGATGAATGTTCATGAACACAACATGCATGGGTTTTCTTGGTCTTGAGCTTCCCAAATCATGATCAAATACCACAAAACAACTTAAAACTTGATGATCTTCCCAAATGAAGATGAATTTCAAACATGCAAGAGAGGATTCATGGAAATCATGCTCAATTTGTAAGAAAATGTACATGCATGCATGAATTGCCACTCAAATCTTCCTTCTAAGCTCATTACACACCCTTAAACACATAATCTTGAAGAAATCTCATGTTAAATGACTTAGATGCACAATCCAGAGGTTGTGATCTTACCTAGAGTCTTCAATTAACTAGATTCTTGCACAAAATTGATGAACTCAAGCAAAATCTTCAATTTCTCCTTAATCTCTTCCTTTCTCTCTCTAGAATTGCACTCTCTCTCTCTAAAATAATTCCTTAGATTTTTGCACTCAAAATGGGCAAGGATGAGCTCAAAAGGGCTTAAGGGGCTCATATTTATATTTATGATGCTATAATACATTAATTAGAACATTAGGCTTGTAACGCCCTCAAAAAAATACATAAAACCCAACTCTTTAGACATGCACTGATATAAAAGAAACCAACCATTTCTATTCATCAGAGTAATTCTTACAACTGTATTACATGTTAACAACAAAAGCAAATGCTCTATGGGCTTACAGCTTTCCAAGTTAACACTTGGTTACAAAAAGAAGAGTGCTAACTCAATACATATTAAGCCCTTGGCTTGAATTTACATGTAATACATCAAAATAAACAAAAAGAGTCTTTCACTCTCATCGTCATCCAAGCTATGTCCTTGGAGGTGGCATACTGCCTGTACCTGAAAATAATGTCCCATAAAGGGTGAGCCAACGCCCAGTAGAGATATGCTAAACACAGTATAAGCAATAACTAAGACATTAGCAATTGATAAATGTTCAATTTCCATAAATCAATTCATAACCCATTTCCATTTCGTTTCAATTTCACAATTTACATCAACGGCTCAGAACCTGGCCAACCACTTATATGAGACAATGACTCATATTAAACATTTCCCATTTTTACAATAGATAAACATATTAGTTGTATCAACATCTCTACAGATAAGCATACAAGCTGTATCCACATTTTAACAGATATGCATATTAGCTATATCAACACTTCCAATGATAAGCATATGAGATGTATCAACACTTCCAAATATAAGCATATGAGCTATATCAATACATTAT